ACTGCCAATTTTTTTTTAATACATATTGTAGTTATTTTAAATGGAATTTTTCTATCTCTTCCTGGTGGGCTTTATTGGTAATATACAAAAGTGATGATTTCAAAACAACTCTGAGGTACCACACCACACCTATCAGATTGGCTAACATGACAAAACAAGAAAATGATAAATGTTGGAGAAAAATGTGGGAAAATTGGAACACTAATGCATTATTGGTAGAGTTGTGAACCAATCCAACCATTTTGGAGAACAATTTGGAACTATGCCCAAAGGGCTATAAAAATGTGCATACCCTTTAACCCAGCAATAGCACTTCTAGGGCTGTATCCCAAAGAGATCATAAAAATGGGAAAAGGACCCCCACGTACAAAAATATTTAGAGCAGCTCTTCCTGTGGTGGCAAAGAATTGGAAATTGAGGGATGCCCATCAATTGGGGAATGGCTGAACAAGTTGTAGTATATGAATGTAATGGAATAGTATTGTTCTATAAGAAATGATAAGCAAGCAGACTTCAGAAAAACTTGGAAAGACTTGTACGGACTGATGCTGACTGAAGTGAGTAGAACCAAAAGAATGTTGTACATAGTAACAGCCACTTTGTGCCATGACTAACTTTGATAGAATTAGCTCTTCTCAGTAATGCAAGGATCTAAGACATATCCAAAAGTCTCATGATGGAAAATGCTGTCCACATCCAGAGAAAGAACTATGGAGTTTGAATGCAGATCAAAGCTTACTATTTGCTTTTTTTTCTTCTGTTCTATTTTATTTCCTCTTTCTTGTGGTTCCTCCTATTGGTTCTAATTCTTCATTATAACATGACTAATGTGAAAGTATGTTTAATAGGAATGTATATGTAGAGCCAATATCAGATTATATGCCATCTTGGGGAAGGAGATAGGGAGGGAGGGGGAGAAGAATTTAAAACTGTGGAAGTGATTGTTGACAATTAAAAATAAATAATTTTTTTTAACAAATGATGATTTATGTGGATTTTATATCCTACAACTTTGTTGAAATTATTGTTTCAATTAATTTTTAGTTGATTATATAGGGTTCTCTAAGTAAATTATCATATCTATAAAAGGGCAATGATTTAATTTCTTCTTTGCCTTTGCTTATTTCTTCAGTTTCTTCTTTTTTTGTCTTATTGCTATAGCTAAACATTTCTAACACTGCCAAATAACAGTGGTGATAATGGATATCTTTGCTTTACTCCTGATCTTACTAGAAAGAACTCTAATTTATCTCCGTTACATATAATTCTGGCTCTTGATTTTTAGGTAGATAGTACTTAGTATAGTAAAGGAAGATTCATTTATCTCTATGTTTTCTAATGTGTGTATTGTTTTTGTTATTGTTTTTTCACAGAAATGGGTGTTGTATCTTGTCAAAAGCTTTTTTTTTTGCATCTACTAGAATAATCATGGTTTTTGTTTTTCTCATTATTAATATGGTCAGTTTTGTTTATAGGTTTCTTAATATTGAAATAATGCTGCATTCCTAGTATAAATCCATCCTATTCATCATATATAATTTTGTGATGTTACCTTATTCTCCTTGCTAATATTTTACTTAAAGTTGTTTCATCTACATTCTTTATGGATGTTGGTCTATAGTTTTCTTTCTCCATTTTGACTATTTATTGTATAGGTATCAACACTATATTTGTGTTGTAGAAGGAATTTGGTATAGCCACTTCTTTTCCTTTTTTTCCCTCCAAAAAGCTTCTATAAACTTTGGAATTACTTGTTGAGTGTTTGATAGAATTCATTTTAAAATCCATCTGGTCCTAGGTTTTTTTCAGTATGAGGTCGTTTATGGTTTGTTCAGTTTTTTTTTTTTTTACGAGATTGGGTTAAATATCTTGTTCTATTGATCTGAGCATTTTACATTTTTTGTAAGTATTCATCCATTTCATTTAGACTCGGTTTTATTGGCATATAATTGAACAAAATAATTTTTAATAATTTTCTTTATTTTTTTCATTTATGGCGAATTCACCTTTTTGGTAATCTTGTCTTCTTTTTTCCCATCAAGTAAGTTCATGGTTTATTTTATGGTTTTAAAAAACAGCTCCTACTTTTATGTATTCCAATTCATAAGGACATCAGCTTGGCAAATCTGATAGGTATAAGGTAGAACCTCAGAGCTGTTTTAATTTGCATTTCTCTATTAAAGATATGGGACATTTTTTCATTTATTTGATAACTTAGGTTCTTTCCTTTGAAAACTTCCTGTTTTTGTCATTTATTCTTTCACCATTTATCTATTGGGGAATGGTTCTCAGTCTTATAAATTTAAAACAGTTCCTTATATATCCTGGAAATGAGACTTTTATGAGAGAAGCTGGTTGCAAAGTTCCACCCCACCCCAGTTGACTGTTTCATTTCTAATTTTAAACTGCATTATTTTAAAATATATATACAAAACTTATAAATTTAATATAATCAAAATTGTCCTTTTCATTTTTAAATTGTACATAATCATAACTGTCCATTTTATCTTCTGTGACCCTCTCTTTTCCTTTGTGGTCATGAATTCTTGCCCTATTGATTAATCTAAAAGTAATTTTTTCTTTGCTCCTATAATTTATTATTTAACCTTTATGTCCAAGTAATGTATCCATTTGGAATTTATCTTGGCAGGTGGTGTGGCTTTCTGCCACAATGCTTTCCATTTTTTTCTAGTAGTTTTTGTCAAATAGTGAATCCTTAGCCTAGTAGCTGGGGTCTTTGAGTTTATTTAACACTGTTGTGTTCAGTTGCTTCTGGGAAGGTCTCAAACCTTTCTTCATTACATACAATGTTTGCTCTTGGCTTTAGATGTTTTATTTCTTCTAAAGAAAAGTCATTTATTTCTAGTGTTTTAAACAGAAACAAGTGTTAGATTTTTTTTTCAAAAGCATTTTCAGCATCTATTAATGTAATCAGGTACTTTCTATCCTTTTTGTTATTAATATAGCCTATCATGTTTTTAGTTTTCCTTATATTGAACCAATCTGTCATTTCTAGTACAAATCTAACCTGGTCATCACAAATAATCTTTTTAATATGTTACTATTCTTTATCTGTGAATGTTTTATTTAATATATTATCAACATTCACTGTTATTGATCTGCAGATTTATTCTTCTCATTTTCCTCTCCTGTTTAGGTATCAAGGCCATATTTGTGTCATACAGTTTGAAAAGGTTCCTTTTACTATTTTTTTTTTAGGCAACTGGGGTCAGGTCATCTCAATCATGTTCCTAACGGTGACTAATTGCATATTTCTTTCTATTCTCTGAAACTTTCCCCTTTCTTTGGCCCTTCTTCACTCATTGTAAGGCTGGTGAAAGAAGAGTTCGCCTAACACTTATGATCTGTAAGTGACACAATTTGTTTCTGCTCCATTACTTTCCTCTCCTCTGCTTGTCACATCTCTGATCACAGATTTTTACTTTCTTCCTTTCAACCTCTCATTTACATTCCCCATTTCAACTTTGAAGTGTTTTGCATGTTTTTACCACTCCTCTCATTCCCTCCCTCAAATATCTCTCTCCTTTGACCCTCTCCCCACCTGCTTCCCTATTGTTTAATGTATTTCTACATGTTACTTTGTGTGAATGTGTATTCAACCTTGCTTTGTCTAGCTCAGATAAAAGTGAGGTTCAAAGGATGCTTGTTCCTTCCCACCTCTTTTTCCACATTTACTCATCTGATGCATCTCAATTATATGAGATATTGACTTTCCTCCACAGTGCTGTCCCCTTTCCCTGATTTCCTTCTCCTAATATCAAAACAGACCAAAACTTGTTCTGAAGAGGACAATGCTTCCCTTCTGCTAGCCTTATTCTTTTCTTTTATTTTCTTGTACTTTCATTTCAAGGTGTATGTTCAGTGCTGGCCTTATCAACAGGGATGGTTGAAAATCATCTCTTGCATTAAAGATCCACTTTTTTTCCCATGTAGAATTATATTCAGTTTTGCCAGATGGGTTATTCTTGATTGTAAGCCTTTATCTTTTGCTTTTTGGCATATATTTCAAGTTCTCTTCTTTTTTTATAGTGGCAACTGCCAAGTCTTGTATAGTCCTTATTTTTATTTTTATCTTTGACCTGGAAACTCTGGATTTTGGCTATGATTGTTCCTAGTTTTCATTTTGGGGGTTTCTTTTAGAAGGAAACCTGATGTATAGCTTTACAAAAACATCAGCCTACCTGGCCCAACCTCTTTAGAGTTCCTTCATTTCTTGCATCAGACTGGACAAAGAGTATATAAGGAATTGTGACCAAAAGATGTCACAATTAGTAAAGTTTTTTACATCTGAAAAAACAAAACTGGCCACCCAAAGCAACTATAGTAACATCTTATATTTTTACCAATTGCTACTTTTCAATTTCCTCTTTCTGTGGTCCCACTCCCATCAGCTCTATTCATATCCTGTTGTTATTTTATCATTCCATCCTTAAGAAATGTCACACTACCATGTTACTCTTCCAACAAAAATGTGTCCTTGCTAGGTGGCCACATGTCGAGACAGCAGCCAAACTATTGAAAGCCTTGGACTATAAGAAGTGAATCTTGCACATCAGCAATACTTCGCCATTTGTTGGTCTGGCCAAGACCCACATCCAAAAGCATTTTGGCTATATGAAGCCAAAAGGCAGTAGGGCTATTTTTAGCCCTGAGTGACAGAAGAATTGGAGCCATGCTAGAAGATGTCCTAGCTGACCTCAGCAAACAATTTTAATTCTCTTTCCTGCATTTCCTCTGTAAAATGAGGGGGTTGGATTGATAATTTTTAGGGTCCTTATAGCCTTAGATCTTATGCTATAAACTATGTTTTATAGGTAAAGGTTCCTTTTAAGTAAAAGATATTAAAAAAAGAGATGCGTAGACTAGGAATCTATATATACCGGAGGCAATATGGACAACAGTTTACTTAACTGAACAAACATTTGTTGAATACCCACTATGTGGCAAATAATAATTTATTTGTATAATCTCAGAGCAACTTTTGGTTTCAACAAAACTGTAAGCTTAAGCACAATTCTGACCTAGAATTCCTTTTCACTTAAGCTATAAAAAAGGAAAGAAAGGGAAGGAGAAGATTAGAAATTTAGATCTAAAGGGCATTTAATGGACATATTTTTTAATATTTCAGCCAAAAGTATAATTGATTTCTGTCCCAATTTTGTGGCATTTATGTATGTATAGGGAAAGGGAGGGGAAGCAAGCATTTAGTAAATCTCTACCTATGGGCCAGTCATAGTGTTAAGTGCTTTACGGAGAATCTCATTTGATTCTCACAATAACCCCATTAAGTAGTTGCCATTAAGATCCCCATTATACAGTTGAGGAAACTGAGGCAGACAGAGTTTAAATGATTTACCTAGGGATACACAGTTAGTAAGTGTCTGAGGCTAGATTTGAACTCATATTTTCCTGACTCCGGGCCCAGTAATCTATCCAGTGCACCCATCTAGCTCTGGCAAGAAAGTAGGAATTAGGAAGACACCATCCTTTTCTGGCTCATGCCAAGACAAAGTCAAATTAGGAGACCATATAAGAGAAAGTGATATTAAGAAATAGACATATAAAATTTAATCCCTTTGACTTAAAATACATCTTCAATGATACAATTAAAAACAGCACACAAGGCAAAAATCAGTTTCATAAAACAAAATATAAAACATTGTTATATGACCCGTGTCCCATAGTATCTTATATTAGAAAACAAATCATCAAATTAGTTCCATACTTCATTAAAATATTTGAAACACAAAAATATTGCTATCAATCCTACTTGTACAAAGGGCCTATGCTATATCCCTGAACCGAAGAAATACCCGTGATTGTATTTGTGTTATAAATTTACACTTCTCAGTAGCTGGATATATTTATATGTATACAAAATTTCCCCTGCTATAGTTACTTAGTCATAAATTCATGAATGTTTCCCAAAACTGTAATAGAAAAGAATCAAAGCCTGAGGCTTCTAAACAGTTTAAAGTAAAACTTCGCTCATCTTCAAGGCAGTAGATTAAGAGGCACTCTAGTTTGAGTTAAGTTTTATCATTTAGTGCATATTAACTATAGCCTATTCACTCATTTTTTGGTTCACTTAATAGAGGCATGTTTGTCTGCCACACTCACAACATATTTGAGTATAGGAATGCTTTGTTTTTAAATTTCACTCATTAACGTAGTGCAGATACCTTGACATAGCCACCTCATGTAGAATACTAGAATGTATTACAATGCTATGGAATAAATATATGTGTTTGGGAAAACATTATCAAAAGAACATTTCAATGCTGTATTTGATCATTTTGGTATATGCCATCAAAAATAATTTTACCTTGGTTTATGTAATTTCTTTGAGATAGCGTTCATTGAATTTCATCATTATATGTACATGGATACCATATTTATATATTATATATTTATGTGACATATGTATATATACACACATTTACAGAACCTTCAAAAATATATTGCACTTATATACAATACAGTTTTATCTAAAATGATTTTATACTATAACCCACTTCAGTTCTTCATAAGGCCATTATTATACATCCAAGAAAGTTGAAAAGAAGGATTTCAGTATCATACCTATTTAGTAAACACTTATAGAGGATAAGAGGTTATAGAATAATGGTCTTCCAGTCTAACTCTCACAAGCATGATACAATCTCACCAGACATTCAAGACAGTTGAGAGTAAAAAAAGCTTAAACTAAAATCTATTGTTCTTTGCTGAAATTTCCTTAAGTAAGTAGGTAGAACAGATAAGAAACTGGTAAATGGCAGTCTACTGATTCACTAAGCCATGGGATAAATATTCTTTTAGTACTAAATTTAGATGTGGTACAGTACAATGGGAAGGGCAGTAGACTTAAAGTACAGGTTTAGATGTTGGTTTTCCCACCTGCTATATGATTTGGGGTAAATGACTTACTCTCTCTAAATTTTAGTTTTCTCATTTATAAAATTGGGATAGTACTTGCTGTTATCTGCCTCACAGAGTTATCAGGAGGTCCAGATGGAACAATGTGTATAAAGTACTTTGTAGCTATCACATGCTCTATAAATGTAAACTATTAGAAATTTCACATATTGATTCTATGTCATCTGAAGAACAATGCAAAATATATCAATGTTATCATTTTCAATCCAAATGCTCTTCTGTTCCCTTCAAGAACTCAAATGAATCACTTCCACTAGTGTCCCTCTTTGGGAAGTGATTCATTGTTGTACCTACAGTTTGACAAAAAGGTCCATTTAACACCTTCATTTAGCCCATGCAGAGTTCTGGATTTGGTTGCCTTTAGATCTCAGTAAGAGTAAGTTTGTATGATCCCCCTGCCTCTTCAATCTGCAACTGGAAGGTGTCTTCATTAGAATAGTGCTTCACTATGTTATCATCCATGTTCACCAGGATTCTAAATGTGGAGGAAAGGTCAAGGTTATTTACTACTGCATGAGACACTTAATTTTAAGAACCAACAGAATAAGGTGTTATAATTTAGATTACATGAAATTGAAAACTTTAGCATGAACAAAATGAATGCAAGTAAGATATGAAGGTAATTGCCTAGAGGAAAAAAAATCTTTGTATCAAAAATCTCTGATAAGAACCTGATATTAAAGATATATGACAACTAACACAAAAATATAAGACTTAAAAGGCATTCCCAAGTGGATAAGTGTTGAAATAATTTGAACAAAATATTTCACAAGAACTGAAAATTATTAACCACCACATGAAAGGATTCTCTAAATCATTAAGAAATATGCAAATCAAAACATCTTTAAGGTTTCACCTCACAACCAGCAAATTGGCAAAGATGGAAAAAAGATAAAAATAGCCAATGGTTGTGGAAAGACAGCAACACAAATGAACTCTTGGTGGAGCTGTAAATTAGTCCAACTATTCTGGAAAGTAATTTGGAATCATGTGAAGAAAATGACTAAAATGTCTATACCCTTTGATCCACAGATACCATATATTATAGAGCTAGACATATACTCATAGGATAAAAAGAAAGGCCCCATATACACCAAAATATTTATAGCGGCACTTTTAGTAGTAGCAAAGAATTAGGAACAAAGTAGATAACCATTGACTGGGGAATGACTATACAGATTGAAGTACATGGATGTAATAGAATATTACTGTGCTGTAAGAAATGATGAATGTAGGAAGACATATGAACTCATATAAAGGGAAGCAGACAGAATCGGGAAAACAATATACATGACCACAACAATGTAAATAAAAAGAAATTGTAATGACATAGCTTGGTGTCAAAGAAGAGAGATGAAAAGGCTCCTACCCACCTTCTCTGGGGAGGTCAAAGTCTATGGATGTGGAACACTGTATATGATGACAGACATTTTCTATGTGTTGGTTAGTTTTGCTGAACTGATTTTTTTTCCTCTTTTTAACTCTTTGTTATAAGGGATGGCACTTTGTAAGGGGAAGAAAAAAGGGGCACATTTGGAAATATAGGTGATATAAAATCTAATATCAAAATTTTATTACTAAAAAAACTCCTATTACTCCGGAGTTAGAAAATGTTTAATAAGAATAGCTTTTTGTTCTCCAGATCTATAGCAGCTAGACATTCTTAACAATCCATCCCTAGAAGTGTATTGTTGTCCTTATCAGAGTTTTTAGAGCTAGAAGTAACCTTAAAGATCAGTCTAACCTCTTTATTTCCAAGATGAAGCCTAGAAAGAGGATATGACTTACTTAAGGTCAAAGAACTGGGATCTTACCCTAGGTCTCCAGATTTAAAATCTAATGTTCTAAAATCTAATTTGAACCTTTTCATTAGAACCATTGAGAAAAATATATTTATTGTTTGTTCTTTAAAACTGAAGTACACTGTATATTTTAGAGGTGACTTAACATATGCATGCCAAAAACATAGTTGTTTAAATCCTGAAATATCATAGAACTAAAGGGTAATAAGTTCTAGGCAATTCACATTAATATAAACTAAAAATAATACCTAGATTCCTGACACTTTAAAATATAATTGAGCATTGGAATTCAGTTTGCCTTAAATACTGTGTGAAAATGGCTAATAATAACAAATTAAAATTTATCTTATTTTTGTCTTATCCATTACTTTAAAAAATCATCAATGCCTTTGTCTTCATCATTGCAGTCATTTCCCAATACGTATCCTTCATCCCCTTTTAACAAAGAAAAAAGTTATGTAAAACCAACTAACAAAATAAACATGTCTGACAGAGTGTATAACATTTTCTTCTGATAGTCAACCACTAGGTAGTTACTTATGTAGGAGAAGGGAATATTTTTCATTGATCATTGCAACTGATCTGGATTCAGCAGCTTAGAAGGATTGTCTTAATTTACATTATTTTAGTCATTGTGTAGTCTGGTTCTGTTGATTCTACTTACTTTGCCCTGGATCAATTCAAACAATTCTATTCATTGTCTCTCAGAATTCCTCATATTTATTTTTCTTCTGAGATCACAACAGAATTCTGTTACACTCATCACAGTTTGTTCAGTCATTCCTCAGTTAATAAGCACGTTTCCCCCCTCCATTTTTTTCTTTTGCTACCCCAAAGAATGCTATGAATATTTTGGCGTATAAGGAGTCTTTTATATTTTCTTTTACCATCTTTGTTGGTAAAATAAATCCAAATAGTTGGATTGTTGGATCAAAGGGCATGACATGAACACTTTAGTGACTTTCCTAGAAGTCCAAATTGCTTTTCAGAATGGTTGGATCAATTCATACTTCTACCCATAGTATACAGTAGGACAGTTCCCCCAACATGATCATCTTTGTTAACCTGATGAATGTGAGGTGAATCCCAGAGTTGTTTTATTTTGCATTCCTTTTATTACTAGTTATCTGAAACACTTTTTTCAAATAGTTGTTTATAGCTTACATTTCTTCTTTTGAAAAACTCTATATCCCTTAGGCCCACTCATTTATTAGGGAATGACTCTTGCTTTTGTATATGTCAATCTCCTATATCCAGACTTAGAATAGAGGTGTTTGATGTAAGTTTTTTATTCCATATTGGAGAGTATCTCCCCTTACTCTAGTGATATTGATTCATGTAAAAACTTTGTAATTTTGCATAATGATAATAGTTTATTTTATCTTTTATAATCATAACATTTATTAAAAATTATCCTCCTTGCCACCGATCTGAGTGTAGCTCTTTATGTTATCCTCTAATTTTTTAAAATAATGTGACTTTTTATATTTAGGTCACATATCCATTCAGAGTTTGTGGTATGTAGTATAAGGTGCTTGTCTAAACTTATTTTCTGCTTTCCAGTTACCCCAGCAGTTATTGTCTAGCTTTATATCTTCTTTGCTGAAGTTTGTGCCTTTAATTTCTCTCCCATATTATCTCTAGTATTTCTAGAACTATAACAAATACTGAGAAGAGTACTGCATTACTCTTATATTTATCAGGAAGGCTTCCAGTATTTTTGTGTTGCAAAAACAGTTAGTTCTTGACTTGTCTACTCTTTAGTCATATTAAAGAAGGGCCTCCGCTTGTATGATTCTGCTTTTTATGATTTTTAACACTGTCATTAATTATCAATATATCAGGCTTACTATTTAAGGTTTGGAAATAGCTTTACATGCATTATTTCACTTGAATAAAAATCAATGCTGTATTTAATTTTTTTCTACGTGTCATGGTATAGTTAATATACATATATATATTTTTTTTTGGGGGGGGTGCTAGGCAATGGGGTTAAGTGACTTCCCCAGGGTCACACAGCTAGTAAGTGTTATGTGTCTTGAGACCAGACTTGAGCTCAGGTCCTCCTGACTCCAGGGCCGGTGCTCTATCCACTGCGCCATCTAGCTGCCCCCTGTAGTTAATACTTTAAAAAAAACCTATAAGCAAAGTTGCCTTAGTAGCCTCATGGAAATATTATTATTATTATTATTACCTTTTTTTAGGCAATTGGGGTTAAGTGACTTGCCCAGGGTCACACAGCTAGTAAGTGTCAAGTGTTTGGTCTGAGGCCAGATTTGAACTCAGGTCCTCCTGACTTCAGGGCCAGTGCTCTATCCACTGCACCACCTAGCTGCCCCTACGTGGAAATATTTTTATTTAATTCCTTATAAAAATGTAGCCAAGAGCAGTTATGTTTCCTTATTGTGTCTGGAACAAGTGCATATAAAACTAATGTTGTTAAAGAGGCTCGTTAATACTCACCCTTTTTTACATTTCTTGAAGATTTTTCCAATTTTATCATAAGGGACATCATATTTATCTGATATCTAAGACAGAAAAAAACACTGTCAGTTACAGAGCACTATTATTTTATATAATTTTATGTCATTAGTTTATAAAATACCATATATACACACTATCCCATTTGGTCTTCCTAACAATCCTGTGCTATGGATACAATTTTCTCCTTTTTACAAATGACAAAACAGAAAATCAAAGGGGTAAAGTGATTTACCCACAGACATAATGCTAGTAAATACCTGGTGAGGTGATAGCCTAGGAGAGAGCTCTTTCCCAGGAGAGGAGGAGTCAAGGGACTGGAGGTCATGGTGAGGACGAAGAACAGGGTTTGGGGTTGCAAGGCAAAGAGAAAGGGGGGAAATGACAACATTTTGATCATGTAAGGGAATTTCAGAGTTTATGAACAAGGAAATGGCATTAACAAAGTATGTATACAAATCCATGCCCCTCTTCTGGTTGTAAAGAAAAAACACTCAAGGAGCGCCTACTATGTAACAAGGTCCTTTGATAGCTGTCATGGAGAATATGAAGTATGAGACACGGTGCTTGTCCTTAAGGAGGGCACGATCTAATTGGAGAAGGAATGAAACCAGAGATCTATGCTCTCTTCCTAAGCTATATGGGTCAGAAAGTCATTGATATTTTTAAAAGTTGGAACTAAGAAAATGTCCTTTGTCTACATAAGTATTGCATAGATATTCTTATCTTTGCTAAATAGCTTCCTATGTATTTAAGAAAAACCAGTCAACGAACACTTATTACGCACTTATGTACCAGACAGTGTGCTAGGCGCTGGAGAGACAAAGACAAAAATGAAATAGTCCCTGTCCTCAAGCAGTTTACCTTCTCTGGGCTATGGAGGGGGAGAGAAGACATGTACTCAGTGCAAAATATGTACAAAGTGGATACAAGGTATTTTCAGAATGAGGAAGCACTAGCAGTTGGGCATTGGGGCTGATCCAGAAATCACGTCATCCCTTTCTCCCCCAATAACCTTCAGTGGCTCCAGATCACCTTCTGATCTAATGCATAATGCTCTGCTTGGTGTTCAAAGCCCTTCATAACCCAGCCCCCTTCTACCATTCCGGTGTTCTTACACCTTCCTCCCTAACACATACTCTCTGATCCATTGACGCTGGCCTTCTTGCTGTTCCACAAACAAGACACTCCATTCTTCAGCTCCAGGCATTTTCCTCTGGCTGTCCCCTTGCCCAGAAGCTCTTCTCCCTCATCTCTGCCTACTGGATTCCCAGCTTCCTTCAAATCGTAACTAAAATACTATCTTGAAGGCTTTCCCAATCCTACTTAAATCCTTCTCTTAATTATTTCCTATTTACCTTATATGCAGCTTGTTGGTATACATTTGTTTGCTTGTCTCTCCCATTAGACTGTAAGCTCCTTGAGGGCAGAGACTGTCTTCTGTATTCCCGGTGCTTAGCACAGTGCCAGGCACATTGTTAAGTGTTTAATAAATGTTTATTGACTACCAAGAAACACCTTATATACCAGATGTCAATTGATCTGAGATTTCAAGGAAGCTAGGAATTCTAAGGCAGGAGGAGAAAAAGGGAGTGTATTACAGGCATGAGAAACAGCCTATGACAAAGGTATAGAGATTGGAGGTGGACCACCGTTCATACGGAACACCAAAGAGACCAATTTGGCTGGATTAGAGAGGGCATAAAAGGAAGTAATATTCAGTAAGGCTGGAAAATTAGGTTGGGGCAGGATTGCAAGGGCTTTAAATGATAAACAGAGGCAAGAGGAAGGTGTAGTTGATCCTGGAAGCATCAGAGCTTTTTGAGCAAGGGAGTGTCATGTCGGTCCTGTGCTTTAGGAATATCACTTAACAGCTGTGTGGAAGATGGATGGGAGAGATGACAAACAGGGAGTAAGAAGACCAATTAATAGCTAGTATTTATGTTGTACTTACTATGTGCCAGGCATTGTGCTATGTGCACTACAAATGTTATCTCCTATGATCCTTACAACAGCTCAGGGAGATAGGTCCTATTGTTATCCCCATTTTATAATTGAGGAACCTGAGGCATTCAGAGGTTCGGTGGCTTCCCTAGGATTACACAGCTAGGAAGTATCTGTGGCCAGATTTGAACTCAGGTCTTCTGACTCTGGGCAGCTAGGTGCACTGGGCCTGGAGTCAGCCTTAGATACTTACTAGCTATGCAACCCTTGTCAAGTTACTTAACCCTGTTTGCCTCAATTTCCTCATCTGTAAAATGAGCTGGAGAAGAAAATGGCAAACCACTCGGATATCTTTGCCAAGAAAACCCCAAATGGGGTCATGATGAGTCAGAAACACCTGAAAAACAACTAAACAACAAGTTCTGACTCCAGGCTCAGTGATCTATCTATTGTGCCACCTAACCACCTAAACGAAGAAGTTATTATAATCACCTAGACAAAAAGTGATAAAGGCCTGAACGAGGGTGGTGGCTATGTGGGTGTAAAGAAGAGGATGACAGATATAAGAAACATCATGAAGTGACGTCAAATCAATAAGCCTTAGCAACTAGTTATGAGCAATGAGGTAGAGCCAGGGCCCAAAAGGTCACCACTTGCTATCAACTAGAACTGTTTTCTACATTCTTTCCCCGAAGTTCAGAAGCAGGGTTGTTCAGACGCAAACTCAAGAATTTAACTGCCAGACCCATCGACGCATCTTTTCCACAGTTTCTATAAATGCTTTAACATCTTGAAAGTCTAGGCCAGACTAAGCTGCAACCATGAATGCTTAGCATTCAGTCTGTGCTTGCTCCCTCTATTTCTACGAGCCATTGAGTGGATATGGTGAGATTACAACAGGGCAAACTTAATGTTTTCCTTTTAGGGCTGAGGGCTTTGCTTTGTGTTTAAAAGAGAGTTACTAAATGTTACTCCAAAGTTAAAGTCAACTCTGTTGGGATCCCTGGATACCTTAGTTCAAATATTTTACCTGTGACTCCTCCCAAAACCAGTCCCAAGATGTCTATCCCCACACCACTGGTGAGAAATGGGACATGAACACATGGATGGATGGACAAGCACATACAACTCCTCATTTGTTCTTTTAATATAACAAAAACATAGATTTTCCAAAAATCAAGTATAACCTCAATGCTGAAATGGTGAAGGGCAAATAGCTCTGGCTCTGGAGCCAGAAGTCCTGGGTTCAAATCTGTTCCACCTCCACCCCCCTTCACCCTTGGATAAGTTACCTACCCTCTCTCAGCCTCATCTACAAAGGGAAGGGGTCAGAATAAACTCTAAGGTCCCTTCCAATTCCAGATTTATGGTACTAATTTTTTCTAGGTGTCTACTAATGAATAATACTATATTTATTAAATGCTTGCTTCTGGGGGGTTTCAGAAACTGTAATGACTTTATCGTGACTGGGTCGAGTTTCAAAGAGAGTGGTTCTCAACCTTTTTTGTCTTATCTCCCCTTCCTCCTGATACGGGGCACTCTCAGACTGTCCTTTGTTAGCTCTCTACTGATTGAGTACAGTAGGATCCTCAGTCTGGAGCAGGGAGGGGCTACAGAGGCCATCTGCTGCAGCCTCCCCCTCTAACCTGCAGGTTATAGATGAGCCCCATTACTAACAATTCAGTGTGTGTGTGTGTGTGTGTGTGTGTGTGTGTGTGCACTGCTTGACTATTTCCATTGACTCATAATCTGGGCTTGATGAAATGCTAGTAACAAACGCTGATCCCCTGAAGCTTACCGCAGTATAAGAATAAGGTGAGTAATCATCAGGTTAGTTTCTCCTTACGCTATAAATATGACACAAATAGAAAACTATCGTAAGAAGATAAAGTATGGATCAGTTGAGTCCTTGGGTTTCTCTACTGAAGTCACATAAGAAAAATCTCAGTAGCAGCAGAAAATTTTATGAGACATTGCTCTTGTCCTGTTTGTTGCTAACAGTATGTCTGACTCTTCGTGACCCCATTTGGGTTTTCTTGGCAAAGATATTGGAGGGGTTTGCCGTTTCCTTCTCCAGCTCCTTTTACAGATGAAGAAAACCGAGGCAAACAGAGTTAAGTGACTTGCCCAGGGTCACACACCTAGTAAGTATCTGAGGCCAGATTTAGGGTCTAGCTTAATACTTCTAAACTTTTTTTCAAATGTAAGTCATATAATCTTGGCATAAATTCACCGATTCCCTAACCAAAACTTAAGTGATAGACTCTAGGGCCACTATTTTCATGTATTCATGTATTCAAATTCTTGATTAAAATAACTTGTTGGTTTTATGTTGTCTTTTTAATTCAACCAATATAAATTCAAGTACATCATATAACAGAAACCAGTATAGCATAGGATTAAAAATACAAATAAAAATATAAGTTCAATCATGTTTTTTTAAAATTCTGTTGAATATGAACTCAAAAGGCCAACTTACATAGGTAGCTACTTAAAGAATTATTGCAATAAAACATAATTAGGAAATTCAGATAGTTTCTCAGAATCTTTTGTAAGCTAACATGGGTACAACTAAGGGAAAAAATGTAAAAGGAAGTTTGTTTTTGGAAATACTCTATATTTAATAGTCTATATCTATTTGTCACAAGGGAGCGCTTCTACTTGGAGGTGGCTGGGTAGCTTAGTGGGAAGTGAGAGACAAGAAGGGAGTATCGATAAAACATTTTTTTTTAAGGCAATTGGGGGTTAAGTGACTTGCCCAGGGTCACACAGCTAGTTAGTGTCAAGTGTTTGGTCTGAGGCCGCATTTGAACTCAGGTCCTCCTGACTTCAGGGCCGGTGCTCTATCCACTGCACCACCTAGCTGCCCCCAATAAACATTTTTTAATGTAAAGAAGAAAATAAAAAAACATACAAAAGGACATAAACAAAAAAAGCAATTTTGTTACTATCTTCTTAAAGTGTTTATGTATTTATAAAGACTGTGACTTAGGGTCTGTAAGCCCAAAGCCACCTGTGGATACCCCCCCCCAAATACACTATGTAATAGAAGTTCAAAATTTCTTATACAATCCTCTTTTGTATTATTTCTATATTGAAATGTTTGTGTTTCTTGATTATTATTAAGCCCACAATAAAAAAGAAAATTTTAAAAGGAGATATTATGTACAATATTACTTACAGCTTCCATTAGGCCCTTCAAAGACGGAGTCTTGAGCATCAGTGCATCAAAAACTTCCTCTGACTCCTTTCGAACATAGAGCAGTACTAAAAGACAACATGGAGAGAAAAGATGAATTTCACTGATGTCATCCCAAAATACATATGTACATATGGATAAAAGTAAATAATGTTTATGGGCTAAAACTAAAAGAAAACATAAATTCACTACTATAGTCAAACTACATTAATCCACACAAAATATGCCTTTTCAACACAAAATATGCCTTAATTACTCAATTTTCAACTTCTTTTTATTTTAACTTTCTAAATACTTGACGAAAAAAATCTCCAACCATGGAATAGATATAGAATTCCCTTGTTCCTCGGTCTTAATTACGGCAAATCAATCACTTGTTCAACAAACATTTATTATGTATACCAGGTGCTGTGCTAGGCACTGAGGCTACAAAGACAAAAATAAATTGGTCCTCGTCCTTAAGCAACATATATTCTATAGGGAGAGAAAATATGTACACGTAAGTATATGCAAAAGAAATAAAAGGTAATTTTGGGAGAGTGACACTAGCAGCTGCAGGGAGTGGGAGATTCAAGATTCATACTGAGGGTGTGCTTGAGTTTTAAAGGAAATAGGGATTCTAAGATGCAGAGGTCAGGGAAGAGCAAATTCTAGGTATGAGGGACAGTTTTGCAAAGGCATAGCATGGGATTTAGTATATTTAAATCTCACTGGGAACTTATCAGTGTGAGTCTTTCTGGAAAAGAGAAGAATAAAAACCTGGCAATCGAACAGATAAAAATCCTCAAATCCATAAGTGGCTGCTTCTAGCCTTTAAGCGAAAGGATTGTAAGGGCTGCTTATAGCCCCTTTCTCCATATGCTTGACTGAATATTTAGATTAATAAGTCTCATCATTTGTTATAGAGTAGAGGAGGGAAGTACAAACTGATTAATGATATAAATTTGAAATCCTCCTTCCTCAAGACTCAACTCAAGTACCAAATCCTCCACGTAGCCTTTCCTTAAATATTCCTAGAACACTTTGTCTTGATTTCTCATTTGCTCCCATCCCATCTATTTGTTATTGTTATTTACTTGTTTTTAGTTATGTCTGACTCTTTGTGACCTCATTTGGGGGTTTTCTTGTCAGAGATCCTAGAGTGGTTTTCCATTTCCTTCTCCAGGTCATTTTACAGATGAGGAAGGTGAGGCAAACAGGGTGACTTGCCCAGGGTCGCATAGTAAGTGAGGCCAGAGTTGAATTCAGGAAGATGAGTCGTACTGACCTCAGGCCCAGCACTCTATCCTCTGCGCTACCTGGCAATCTCTACCTTCTATTATACTTATCTATGTATATGTCTTATTTCCTCCAACAGACCATAAGCCCCTTGAGAGCAGGGCATTGTTTTCCTTTTTTCTTTTTCTTTTGGTTTTTATCTCTAGTGTTATGTATGGTGCCTTACATAAAGAAAATAACTAATTAATTTTGTTGAATGAATAAATCAAACGTGGTTTGAATTTGAGATGACTGGACTAGTTGATTCTCTTAAAGTTCCTTTTAGCTGTATGAGTTTTCATATCTTACATCTACAATGTTCCCAAATCTTTCAGTTTCTTCTTCTCTAAAGTGTGTTGGCTGTGGTAGTGAATATGTTCTGTTTTAGTTTTAGGCCATAAATTACTCTTCTCTAACTTCTAGCTCAGTGTTTTGCCCTAGATGTATATAGAAGGTTTTTTATATTTTTTCACAGAAATTATTTAAAAAGGGAAAAGTCATTATTTGAGGATTAACAATATAAAGTATGCTCACACTCATGGATATCCTTTCCCATAATCACACAAAAAACCTCTGAGGTATGGGAAGAGAGGGGGAAAGAAAATGCAGGGAAACTTCTAATCTTGGCATTCCCTCTTTCCTTAATTAACCTAAAAATGATAAAGCATTGAAATAAGTGTCCCAGACCCTGTGATTATCCCCTGCTGGGATTACAGCTGTGGAACAGCCAAACTGTTTCCATTGCATTTTTGCATAGGCAGGTGAATCTGAAGCAAGAATTTAATTACTCTGGTTTATTGGCTAATCTCAATATCAACATTTCAACTGAATGTCTTAGTACTGAATGGCTGATTATATAACATTCTCTTCTGCAGGGCTTTAACTTATCTAATATTCAATAATAATGATGCCCATTCCCATGACTGTGTCAGCATAGTCAATGATTTACTATCCTTGGAGCTCTTACAGTGCCCAATCCTATTTTGTGCAGACATCTGGCTTGTTAAACCTATGCCTTACAGTAAAATGTTCATATTTAAAAACCAATGAAACGCATAGAAAAAGCAAGGTCATGACTTAATGTCAGCCTCCAGGGAGACCTCTCTTCCTCTATGCAATAAATAACTGCTGAACTACAAGATATGTTGACTAGAGAACCAAGTTTCAGTTTGATATGCTCAGAAGAATCTACAGAGGACAGTTCCAGGTTCAAAGAAGTGGGTAAGTGTTCCTGTCATGCCTGTAGCATGTAACTTTCTTTGTTATTATTATAATTAAAATATCAATGGATCTTCAACTCACATGCCATCTGTAAAAAACACTTTGCAAAGCGTAAGGTACCATATAAATTCAAGCTATCATCCTTATCAGAGAGTGATAAAGGTACTTTATAATATTAACATATAAATCAGTTGGCTAAATCTCTGTTCTGACATAAAATATCCACCACACTTGTCTAGTGTAAACAAACCTCTCTTAGGTTCCTCTATCCTGGTCAGTTTAGCAGGAGGTGTAGTAGTGAAGTCATCTTCAGTTCCATATGGTCCCCTTTTCATGTTGGACCTGAAATTAATCCAAACTATACTGTCAGTGCCCTTATCAATAAAACAAATGTCAATAACAATAATTTACTGAATGCTTAGCATATGCGAAGCACATAAAAAGTAGCAAGAAATCTGGTTCCTACATTCAAGGAACTTAACATCTAGTTAAGAAAACAAGATTTACATACATAAAAAGATAACCAATATCAGAGAATAAATAATTAGTGCCAAATGAGTTGCATAGATAAATATCAATGCAATTTTAGAAATTTAGACCTAGAAGAGATTGTGAAGCCTTTTATAGCTCTAACTCAGATGAATCTAGTCTAACCCTTCATTTTACAGATAAGAAAACTGAGGCCAGAGAACCCAAACTCACCCAATTGTTTAGTGGCAGTGCTGGGGCTAGATCCCAAATATCCTGACAATAAGTCCAATACTCTTTATTACCACAAAACACTGACTCCCTTAAAAGGGAGAGATCACTTCTGTGTGGAATGGTCAGTGGAGATTTCTTAGAGATAGTAGGATTTCAGTTGGACCTTGAAGGATGGACATTTGCCTATAAGGAAAGACATTCTAGCAATGGGAAAGGGCACAAAAAAGGGCTAATGTGCCAGGTACTTTGGCAGAAGTGCATAGCTCAGCATTACTGGAGCAGAGGGTTCAGAAAGGACTAGCAACAGATCCTCGAGGCTATGTAGTACAATGGAAAGAGCACTGGTTTTGGAGTTAGAGGACCTGGATTCAGATACTGGCTCTACCATGTACTATCTCCTGTGTTGACCTTGGACAGGTCACTTAACTTCTCAGGGGTTCAATTTCTTCAACTATAAAATGAGAGGGTTAGACTGGACGACCTTCTCTAAGGTGTCTTCCATCTCTAAATCTATGATTCTATGAGTTTAAGGCTAGAAATATAAGTAGAGGCCAGATTATAAGGAGCTTTGAGTGGCAGATTAAGAAATGTGATCTTTATCCTCTTAATGGAGAGCCATTGAAGGTTTTCTAAAAAGAGTCGTCAGAGTATCCCAGGCAACGAGACCAATTGGAATGCTATTAGGTGAAGTGCTAAGGCCTAAACTAAGATGGTAGCAAAAGGAAAGGAAGGTAGGGGAGGTACATTGTGAAGGCAGAATTGCTGAAATATGATGAGTGATTAGGTATAGATAGTGAGAAGGAAAGAGTCAAAGATGGCTGAAGTTTTGTGTTTGGGAAACAGACAATAGTTCTGCCACTTAATAACCACTTGACTTTGGGTAAGAGAGTGTAGGTCTGGATGAAATGCACTTCCCTTCTCACCACAGAGAGGCATGTGGCTCCAAGAGCAAAGTGCATATGCCATCAGGGCAGTTGTTTTGTCAGTCAGTTGTGCTTTGGTGTTTTTCTTTCTTTTTCTTCTTCTTCTTTTTCTCTTTTTTCTTTTCTTTTTTTTTTTTGTGAGGCAATTGGGGTTAAGTGATTTGCCCTGAGTCACATAGCTAGTAAGTGTTATGTGTCTCAGGCCAGATTTGAACTCAGGTCCTCCTCACTTTAGGGTTAGTGCTCTATCCACTGTGCCACCTAGCTGCCCTAAGGTGTTTTGCTGTCTTAAAAGGGAGAGTTCAATTCAGGGGTTAAAGGTAGAAATCAGGAAATGATGGCATTGTAAAAAAGTGAAAGGCATCAATAAAACTTTTTAAGAAGAAAAGAAAGAGGCAATGGATCTAGAATCACAAAAAAAAAATGGGTTCAAATCATGGTTCTGCAAATTTATTGCCTGTGAGACCACATACAAGTTGCTTCATCTCTCTGAAACTCAGTTTTACCATATGTAAAATGAGGTAGTTGGACTAGATTATAGCTAAGGTCCCTCCTAGCATTAAATCTAGGATGCACTGAAGTCACGTAACCACTCTGGACCTCAGTTTTCTCATCAATAAAGTGAGGGGATTACTCTAAATTATCTCTGTCTCTTTTCGCTCTAGCATTCTATGAGTCTCTGATGTCATTAAGAGAAATAGGGCAATCAGGTGCTGGTTTGGGGTAGAAGATAAAGTTTCATTTTAAGCAAGTGTTTGAAGTGACAGCAAGACATCCAATTCTAAATTCTTTATGGGAAAGGATCACATTTTACGTATTTTTGTATTCCCCACGGTACTGAGTAGGGTGCTTGGCATATAGTAAGCATGCTAAAAATAGAATTACCAATTTTGAGTAAGATGGTACACTAGCTATCATCTGGTACAACCCCTTATTTTACAGATAAAGAAACTAAGGCCCAGCGACAGAACATGATTTGCCCCTATTCATACAGATTATTTGATGAATGAATGAAAATATGCAGGGAGCTGAGAAAAGATTTAGAAGACAGATCAGGGCTATCCCTCATGCCTGGAATGCTCTTCCTCTTCAACTCCTCTCCTGAGCTCTCTGGCTTCCTTTAAATCCCAGCTAAATTCCTACCTTCTATAAGAAGCCTGCTGCAACCCCTCTTGATTCCAATGCCTTCCCTCTTTGAATTATTTCCTATTTATAACTTATACTGTATATAGCTTGTGTGTGTGTGTGTGTGTGTGTGCGCGCGCATGCACACACACACACACACTTTCTTATTGTCTCCTCCATTAGACTGTAAGCTCCTTGAGAGCAAGGACTGTGTTTTGCCTCTTTTTGTATGCCCAACACTTAGCACAATGCCTGGCATGTAGTAGGAGTTTAATAAATGTTTAGTGATTAACTGATGGATTGATTAGTGATTAACTGATGGATTGATTTGGGAATAATTAACACCATTTATTACATGGCTATTATGTACCAGGCACTGTGCTAGGTAATGTGAATACAAAGACAGAAATGAGAGCAGTCCTTGCCTTCAAGGAGCCTACAGTTTAGTCAAGAAAGACAACACATACATATGTAAAACAGACTGATATAAGGTGATTTGAGGAAGGCAGGACAGAAGCAGCTGCCAGAGGGAGGAAGGAGAGATTCAGAAAAGGCTTTATGTAGAAGATGGTGCTTGAACTGGGCCTTGAAGGAAACCAGGGATTCTGAGAGATAGTGGTGAGGAGAGAGGATATTCCAGGCAGGGTGCAGCCGGTGCAAATACATGAAGACATAAGATGGAGTGCAACATATGAATATCAGTAAAAAGGCCAATTTGGCTGAACTACAGTGTGTGTGTAGGGAAGTAACATATGATAAGGCTGGAAAGATAGGATGGGCCCAGGTTGTACAGGGCTTTAAATGCCAAACAGAGGAGCTAATATTATCATTCAGGTAACAGAGAATCACCAAAGTCTGTGGAGTTGGAAAGTGACACAGTCAGATCTGTACTTTAGGAAAATCAATCTGGCACCTGAGTAAAAGTTGAATTGGAGACAGGAGAAACTTGAAGCAGGGATATCAATTAGAAGAATATTGAAATTTCAAGAGAGAGGTGATGACAGCCCGCACCAGAGTGGTGGTGGCTATGTGACCAGAGAGAAGGGGGAAGATTTGAAAGCTGTAAACTGAGTAACTAGAAGGATGACTCAGCCCTGGCAGAAATAGAGGAGCTCAGATGTAGGCTAGATTTGGAGGCGGACAGTTTTAGATATTTAGAGCCTGAGATATCTACTTTGGAATATCCCATAGGCAGTTGCAATGAGGCGCTGGAGCTCAGGAGAAATGAGGGCTGAAAATATTAAGCTGATGGTCATCAGCAAAGGGGATAATTAAACCCATGTGAGTTGATAAGGTCATCAAGCAGGAGAATATAGAGAGCAAAGAGAAGAAGAATAGATCCAGTATACTCACAGTTAGGATTTATGGTGCAGGAGACCAAGAAGGGGTAATGAGAAGACAGGAGAAGAACAAAGAAAAAGCAATGTCCTAAAACCCAGAGAGAAGAAAGTACGCTGGAGAGGGTGGTCCAAAGCACAGCCACGTGGAGGCCCACAACATTTCCAGATGAGGCCTGAACCAGACTAAAATGTAACTAGGAAATTTTTAACAAAATAAATAAAAATACAACAAAACCTAGATAATGTTACATTTTATTTTATTTTTTTTGTCTAGGCAAGGGGGTTAAGTGACTTGCCCAGGGTCACACAGCTAGTAAGTGTTATGTGTCTGAGGCCATATTTGAATTCAGGTCCTCCTGGATCCAAGGTCAGTGCTCTACCCACTGCACCCCCTAGCTGCCTCAATAATGTTACATTTTAAGAGTAAGTCACTATGCAGCCTGCAGAGATACTAATGTACACATTAGTGGCTCCTACTTCTCTTTGAGTTTGACATCAATGGTCTATCACGTCCAACACTATAGATAGGTCAAAAAAGATGAAAGTGGAGAAAATACTATAAGATTGGGCAATTAACAGATCATCAGTGACTTTGGAAAGGGCTGTTTCAGTTGAGTGATAAGGTTGGAAGCTAGAATGTAGAGTGTTTAGAAAAAGTTGAGAGAAAGTGAAGGCAATGAATATAGATAATTATTTTAAGGTTGTGCCAGGAAATAGAGGAACAACTTGGGATAACAGTTGTAGGGATGGCAGAATATAATGAAGGTTTTAAGGATGGAGGAGACTCAAATGTGCTTACAGGCACCAGAGGAAGAATGGAGAAATAGGGAGAGATAGAGAGATAGAGGTGATAGTTGAACTTATAAGAGATGAGCTCTTTGAAGGAACCAATCATAAAATGTTAGAGTTCAAACCGACCTTAGACCATGGACCATCTGGTCCAACTCTTTTATGTTACGTATGAACAAACAGGCTCAGAAAGATGAAATTACTTTTCCGAAGTCACACAGCTAATTAGCATCATAGTTGGAAATCAAACCCACATATTATGACTTCTAATTTAATGTCCTTTCAACTATATCATACTGCCTTCCTAATGTGGAAATAAGAGTAGGGAGCCAAAAATTGATGATTAGTGAACATCTTCATTTATGGAGAATGGGGAGGAAGAGGTATCAGTAAAGGAAACAAAGTTTGAGATGGAAGAGGAAAACCTGAATAGTGTGCATTGCAGAAGCCAAGAAAGGGATCTGAAGAAGAGGGCGGTCAACAACTTTGAATGTTGCAAAGATGTTAAGGAGAATCAGGACTAAGAGAGAGCCATACTATTTTACAAATAAAAAGCTATTTGGTTTCTGTAGACTGGAAGAGAGATTGAAGGGTGTTAATGAGAGGAGTAGTGAAGAACGAAAGTTATAAATAATAGACTACTCATTGAAAAAAAGCTTGGCAATGAAGGGAAAGAGGAAAAAAGCACAACAGAGACACAGAATATCCATTCTACTGTACTCCACCCCCAATACAACATTTTCTCTGCCAAAAAATAATAGATTTTAGAAGTGTAGAGAAAATCTAATGTTCTAGTCCATCTGTGTAATTGATGTTATTCCAGAAGCCCTGTTATTAAAAGCAGTAATAAAGACATCATATTCCTCACAATAATTTTAAAGATTACTAAAATCTTTTTGTGCATTTGTATAATAGCCTTTGCTATATACTTTCATTTCCCCCGGAATGATTTAAACATTGTAACAGTGTGTATCATATGTTTGTTTTTGTAAACAGTGCTGTTCAAAGGGACATTATAACTGGGCTCGCTGAGTTAGGGGGCACACGCACTGGAAAAAGTTAAGCCCCAGGTTCAGAGGTAGAAGTTGGTGTGGGGAGGAAAAGGGAAAAACCAGGAGAAAGAGAACAATTCCTAACTGTTTGAGACCATTGGCTCCAAAGAACCAGAAATTATTGATCGTCTAGCAATAAGTGGTGATGTCAGAAGTTTCTGGTTTCTCAGTTTTGCTCACAGATTAGTCATTTCAGGAATGGAGAGTACTTGGGACACCTGTGGCATGAAATTCTGGTTAAAAATTTTATAACTACTTTCTATCACATCTGGGAAAAACCAAATGCAGCCTCAGACCTGAAGCTTATATGCTGATGATTAGATGGTTAGTAATAAGCAACTTCTGCCCTACTAAAAGAGAAAGGCTATCATCTTGGGTATCTATATTGCTCTGAATTTTGCTGAGGCAATTGGGATTAAGTGACTTGTCCAGAGTCTGTGTGAGTGTTATGTGTCTGAAGCTGGATTTGAACTCAGGTCCTCCTGATTCCAGAGCCACTGTTCTATCCACTGCGCCACCTAGCTGCCCCTATTGCTCTGAATTCTAAAGGTGCTCCGAGGTGCTCTGAACTCAACAAGGTAGGATAAAGCTGCCCAGGAAGTAGAAAGAGCATTGAATTTGGAGTCAAAAGATTAGAGTAAATCACTTCCCCTTTCTAGGACTCAATTTCCTCATCTATAAAATGAAGAGACTAGACTAAATAATTTCAATGATACTTTCTAGTTCTAAAGTATGTAATCTTAATACTACTGAAAAACAAAGCTTACCCTTCACCTTCCAGCTCCTCTGAGGCAATAGGAAGAACCTTTAGAGAAAACAAAATAGGTTGTCTTAAAATACACTCAAAATAAGGTGTTTTATTAAGCCAAAATGTAAATAGCTTTAGATTTCTGACCAAATGGAACCAAAATTCATTCAGTCAACTCTCCCAAAACCATATGCTTGTGGACCTCTTCTCCGTTTGCATTCTTTTCCATCCATTTAATTAGAAACACAATGTTATGATATATGATCTTTTAAAATAAGCTAGACACAAAACAAGAATCCAAATTTACACATTAAAGAAACAAAATTAAGTGAAATACATTCTGGATTTCTAAGATATATTCCTATCTTTGAGGATGTCATATTATTTCCACTTAATATTCTGAAGGGTTAACTCTTAAAAGGTAGTCAAATTCTTTTTAGTTTGAGCTTCTACTTAATATGAATGTACTGGACTGGAAAAGTGCCTACCTATAATAACAATGAAAGCACAAAAAACCAAAATAAAACATCCTCAACCCCTAGAAGGTTTGTCACCTACGTGAGCACCACGCTGAAGGTTGGCAAAGTGCACATCAGGGATAAAGAGAACAGGCTGAGTGTCAAGATCAATGAAGGGCTTGAAAATTGTGATGTCCATTCTTTTGTGGGACGGAAGCAGAGGCACTTTAACGTCAAGACCTGAAAGAGAATAGGCGGAGGAAACAAATTTTAGTATAAAAATTGATACCAGGATGTACACTGCCTAATATTCTATATCACTTACAAGAAAAATGAGGTATAGGTTATAGTACTTTTCATATTTAACTTGTGGCATAAGTTTCAATTTTGAGGACAAAGACAAATTGGTTGGTATATAAGGGAATGCGCTGTATTCAAAATCTAAACCAAAAGTGTAACTTCTATCAAAGTTAAGAGAAAAAAATAATAGAAGAAACAACAAAAGAGAACACAGACCAAGCATACTTAGTTCTATTCTGAAAGGTATCAGTTAAAGATTGTTACAAATATCTGAAAATATGACAGAAAAAGCCTTTAACCTTAGCTGTCCTACTATTAGGGTATGGCTCTTCACCTTCAAAATGCACCAAACGCAAAAGAGAGCAAACAGGTTTTTCTTCCTGCTTTCAAAAATGTTAAATATAGACTAACCATCCCTATAACTCTAGCAGCGTACACAGCTGTCCTCCAAAGTGGTGTCAGGAACCTTCACTGAGGAGTCACGATAAGAAAACCTTGACTAATGTGTTTGTTGATTCAGGCAGCCTACTCAAAATAAAAATGCCTAAAAGCACACATACTGGCATGGAAAACAGCAACTGGGAAGTAGCAATGGTTCTTTCTCCTTCCCATAGGCAGATAAAAAGTTGTAAGAAAATGAAAACTAGTTGTATAAAACAAATAGAAGAGAAAGCATGATGCGCAATTCCACTCTCCACAGAGGCTCTTCCAAACCTTTGCATCCCTCTTCAAAGTTCTCCTGGCTCCCCACCTTCATCTTCTCAGTTGAGAACCTTGCTTCATATTTTACTGAAAAAATTGAGGACATTCACCTAGAGCTCCCTCTTCTTCTCTTTTCCTCATCTCATATCACTCAGATGTCTTCTGTCACTATCTTCTTCACCCTTGTCTCTCAAAAAAAAAAAGTCACCCTACTTCTGGCACAAGGGATCCATTCCATCCCATCTCCTCCAACAGACTGCCCCCTCTGTCATCCTCTCTCTCTTCAATTTCTCCCTGTCTACTGGCTCCTTCCCTACTGCCCACTAATTTATCATGTTTCCTCCATTCTCAAAAAAACCCTTCACCTTGATAACTTCCATCCCTGCTATGGAACACCAATATCTTCTGCCTTTTGTAGCTAAACAACCTCAGAAGGCCTGCTGATAATTCTCAAATCTAATTATTCCCCCCCAACCTCTCTGCTGACCTCCAGTCTCACATCTCCAACTGCTTATTGGCCATCTTAATCTGGATGTCCTGTTTCAACATGTCCAAAACTGTACTCATTATCTTTTTCCCCAAACCTTCCCCTCTTCCAAACTTCCCTATTACTACTGAAGGCACCATCTTACTCCCAGTCCCCCTAAGTCATAATTTAGGTGTCATCCTCAACTCCTCATTCAACCCCTATATCCACTCTATTGTCAAGGCCTGTTGATTTCACCTTTGCAACACCTCTCAAATATGTCCCCTTCTCTCCTCTGATACTGCCACCATCCTAGTATAGACTCTCATCTCCTCAACCCTGACCTACTGTAATAGCCTACTGTTTGCTCTGCTTGCCACAAGTCTCTCCCCACTCAAGTCCATCCTCCATTCAACTACCAAAGTGATTTTTGTAAAGTGCAGGTACGACCATGTCACACACGTGCACACACACACACACACACCTCCAGTGGCTCCCTATCACCTCTAGGACAAAATATAAAATCTGTTTTTTGGCCCTTTATAACCTAGCCCCAACTACCTTTCTACTCTTCTTACACCTAATGCCAGCCCCATCCCACCATGTACATTTTGATCCAGTGACACTGACCTCACTGATGTTTTCCAAACAAGATACTTCATCTCTCAGCTCCAGACATTTTCTCTGGTTATCCTCTATGCCTAGAATGTTTTCCCTCCTCATCTCTGCCTACTGGCCTCCTTCAAGTCCCAGTTAAATTCCATCTTCTGTAGGAAACCTTTCCCAGCCCTTCTTTCTTCTAGTGCCTTCCCTGTGTTGATTATTTCCTATTTATCTTCTATATAACTTATTCATACATACTGTTGTCATGTTGTCTCCCCCATCAGATTGTGAGCTCTTCAAGGGCAGAGACTCTCTGGTGCCTTTAACTTTGTATCTCCAGTACTTAACTTAAAATAGTGTCTAGTTCATACTAGACACTTAAGAAATTCTTATTTACCAATTGACTAGTAGAAAGATCATTGGACTTGGAGTCAGGATACCTAAGCTTGATCCTTGACACTACCTTTGAGACCAGGCAAGTCACCTAAGCTCTTTGGGCTTCAATTGTTTCATTTTGGAGCACATGCATCATATCTACTAAAAGCATTGTTGTGAGAAAAGTGTTTTGTGAAACATTAAAATGCTGCATAAAGGTGATCTAATAGTATTGTTACTATCATTGTTATTACTCATTAAGTGCCCAAGCAGAACAACTGTGGAACCTACAGGTGTCAGCACATTAAAATTTCCATTAAGAGTTAAGAAATCCTCAAAAGTTATTAGTTTAAAAAATAATAAAAACATGTCCATATACTGGAAAAGATTATACATACACATATATACACATATGTATGTATGTATCTTTTCTGTGGTTCCCAGTCAAATTGTTAATCTTTGTGCCTCAGTTTCCTTATCTAGAAAAAGAAGCATTTTACAACATCACTCTTGTTTCTCAACCAGTAAAACCACCCACAATTGTGTTGTCATTTGTTTTTTAGGGGCTGATAACTGTGGTCACAGTTCTGCATGGGAAATGAAGTCTTAAACTCTTAGTGGAAACGTTTCTACTTACAGGCATTCAACTGGGAGCTGGGGTCAGTACACTTGCCTTTTCTTTTGCTTTGTTTTCGCTCCTCATCCCTGATCTTCCGTTCAGCACCCTGTCAGAGAAGATAAAAGGTCTTACTGTCTGTCCAGTCCTCTAAAAACGTTTGCCTTCGTTTTTAAGCAAGGAAAATACAATTCTTTTTGGAGATGTGTCATCATTTAGAATAGTAAAGTTAAGTGGTACATTCTACAGAATGATTATAAATGTACAGAATCTGATTATTAAATATGGAAAGGACTTTAGGAGACTATCTAGTCAACATTTTAATTTTACAGAGGAGGAAAAGGAAGTAGCAGAAGTGTAACTTGTCCAAGGTAACACAGTAAGTTAGTATCAGAGCTACTAGCTTAGTGGGCAACTATACTATATATACTGAATATATGAGAGGCATATAGATAGATAGTATGTATGTATGTGTGTATATACCTATACACACATATATACAATCCTCTTCCCCTCCAAAAATTTTTCTTTATACTAAATCCAGTCTAAAATTAATATATTCTTCATGATACTTAAGAAAAATTATGCTTGCCTCCTTGGAATTTAAATAACTTTATTTTTAATTTCTATTTTTTGTTTTTTTTTACATCACCAGAAGTCCCATATAACAAACACTATTTTTAAAAGAAAAAGAAGAGACAAAAAAATTAAATTGATCAATATATTGAAAAGATCTGGAAACACAAACAATTTAAAGGGAACCAAGTTTCCTTTTTCAAAAAGCATCCTGTGTTTAAATTGATATCATCTTTTTGTCTAGATAAATATTCCTGAAGTAATAACTTCACTAAAAACTATCAAACTGACCTGACAATTGCTCTCAACTTAAAAAAAAAAAGTAGCCTGTGGTTTTCTACTTGGCCACTAGATGCCACATTAGTAAATTTGTCAAATGTTTCAGAGTGGATTAAGAATAGTGAAATTCAAAGGTAGGTAAATCTGTATTTGATATTTGGAGTTCTATGACAAACATCTTGTGAAATGGAAAAAAAGATAAAGGCTTTCTAGAAATATGATAAAATAGAAACCACTAGAAAAGCTTTCTCAAAATAAAAGGTCTTTTAGGGTATGACTGTAATGAGCTAGTAATGAACTGAATAGTCATTTTTCAGGCTCAGATTGGTCAAGAGAAACCACCACTGGAGTTCTTATCAGGGATACTTTAAGACAGGATTCCTACTTAGATATGAGTTGTACTAGATGACCTTTGAATCGCTTCTGGCACAGAGATTCTGTGATAGGACCACTGACTTAGAGTTGGAAAGGTCCTTAGATGTTATCTTGGTCAAACCCTTCATTTCATAGTTTAGAAAACAAAATTTTAAAGAATGCAAGTGATTTGCCCAAGGTCACACAACTAGTACGAGACTAAGCCAGACTGATTAATCATACACTCCAAAAAAGCAGCTCACTGTGGGAAATTTTCATACGCACATTTAATCATCATACTGTTCAAACAGACGGACAATGGCTGAAACCAGTTTTCAGTTACCGAATTCAAATGGAGATGGGAGTGCTACAAGGACTTCAAAAGCAAAAGGGATATTTTGGTAGAAATCAAATTCATGAATGGCCAAAGTAGTGGGTAGAAAAAACTTCAAAAATCTAACCTACTACAACATTGGAAGTTAAGAAAAAGAAACATATCTTTAGGTAATTACATCAATTCTTTATCTGAAATGGCATGGCTCAAGAAATTAATATGAAGATCTTCTTGTATGGCTGCAACTGAATTTTACATTAATTCAATTCAACTTTGACTCCAGGGAAAGCTCTCTGTGGTAAATGGACTTCATTAAAGTTTTTCTCCCTTATGGAGGGCCAGAAAAACATATAAATTCATCAGGGACGGCTCCTGCCAAATCTCTACTTGCTAGGGGTCCAAATTTTCTTCAATTTTCTCTGAAATACTCATTTCTCCTACTGCAAGAACAGACGTATAATAATGATGCTCCATCCAAGACAAGTACTACATAGCTAAAAGGAATAATTTCAAAGAAGTAGTTTCTCTACTAAGATAAAACCCCCATTTGACTTGCTAATCATTAACAAAGTAGTCTATATTTTAAAATGTATAGACATTTTTATCCTAGGAGAAAAATATAATAACTCTAAAGGATGACAGAGACTATTTCTTCTTTGCCACTGAACACAGAGGCAGAAGGCATAAAATGTGTATTGAGTCAGTATGAACATGGAGAAGTGGGATAATAATCGAGAGATGAATTAATTCTCAAGAAGAGACAGAATCAAGGAGGCATTAGGTTGTTTCATAGAAGAAAGGAGGTATAATAGAATTAACCTATAACAAAAGGAAGCAACTTTAATTATCAATGTTTACTGAGTATCCAGAAAATATAATGAATATTTGTTGAATGTCTATCGGATATGAGTTACGTAGGAGCTAAAACCAGAGCAAAAAGAAACCAGAAAGATACTTGCAAGACCATAGAGAATATTTTCAAAATCTGTATGTGGTAACATTAGGGAAAAGGGTTCCATAGCATGGAAAATGTAATTTTTTTTTTCATTAAGGATTTCACCTCAGTGACCTAAGATTACAAAACTCAGCACGAAAGTTTCTAAGAATGCGATTTCATCTTTTATGTTCCCAAATGACCTGTAATTTCAGGGATCATATTACTTTTCTTGTGTAACATAAAGTAGGGTAATAGGGGACTATAAGTGTCATCCTTTCCCTTCTTTTTCCCTCCTCCCCTCTCCCCAACCTGTCCAGGATATTTCTCCTAATAGAAATGGGACTAGGTTTCCATGAGAGATGTAGGAAAGAAGAAAAAAATGTTTTGTTTTGTTTTGTTTTTTAAATACTTTGTACTCTTTTGCAGGAAATGGGACGCCAAAAAACTAAATCAAGCTTTAATTTAAATATTTTAAATTGGTATTTGTAACAGGAAACCCCAGGGGTACTGTCCATAAGGCACCACTAGAAGCAAACCACACATTTTACTACATATAAAATTGTCTGCAGTTTTCTTCAATAACTACAATAATTCAGTCTTAACTAAACACCTGTAATGTTTTTCATGATTTCGGAGATTATCAAGTTCTCATTACATGTGATTAAAATGGACAAATAAGTGGGAAAGCAGTAAGGCTGCAATAAAATCATGTCAGTGGTCCCAAACCCATTCTACCATGGATGTTTAGGATACCTTTTTTTGTATTCCAGAATCATTAACCTCGTATCCCCAGAATGACATACACAATGAACAAAAATGCTTTCTAAATCTTATGACTACCACTCATTTAGGAGTCATCTTAGACAAATAATGAAACTTAAATGTTCTTGGTCTGTTCATTTCAATCTCTCATTGGAGCAATATTTAGCACCCACCATGTACAGAACACTGTGCTGGGTGCTGGAGCTATAAAGACAAAAAGGTAACTGTTCGTTCTGTCAAGAACCTTCGGGTCAAATGGAGAAGACAATACATACATATATAAGACTATACAGGGTAGGGACAAAATGAGTCAAAGGAACTTTTGGGAGGCAGGAATGAGCAGCTGGGGGATCATCAGAAGGTAGCAGAGAAGGGGAGTCTTGAAGGGAAATATTTCAGGAGCTGAGGGAGAAGGGAGGGTCTAAGAGAAACAGAGGACATCTCATGCAAAGGCCCAGAGAAAGGAGATAGAGCATGGCATGCGTGGAGCAGCAAAGAGGCCAGAATTTACTGCACCGAGGAGTGCGTGAATGAGAGCAGTGTGTAAGGAGATCAGACAGGTAGGAGAGGACTGGGGTTCGAGGAGCTGTAAATGCCAGAGGGAGTAAAGCCCCTGGAGTTTACTGAATAGAGTCAGACTAGTACTTTAGTAAATGGGCTTTGGCAAAGGTGAGGAAACTGGATTGGCCTGGGGAGGTGAATGAAACATAGTCCCCTGCCTTCAAAGTTTATCCTTCACTAAATAAGTAAATGAATGAATGAATGAATGAATGAGTGAATAAATAAATAAATGGGGCAGCTGGGTGCTCAGTGGATAGAGTGCTGGGTCTGAAGTCAGGAAGACCTGAGTTCAAATCTAGCCTCAGACACTTACTTGCTGTGTGACCTGGGCAAGTCACTTAACCTCTATTTGCCTTAATCCCCTGCAGAAGGAAATGGCAAAACACTCCTGTATCTCTGCCAAGAACACCCCATGGACAGTACGGTCCATGAGGTCATGAAGAGTTGGATATGACTGAACAACCGAACACACACAAATAAATAGAATCAAGCACATAACTACAATACGTACAATTACGGAGTGTACTCATATGATTGACAGTGAGAAATAGCATGACATCAGGGAGAGAAAGCTGCCCTCATGGTCAGGTAGAACTGGGGTCAAAGTCCCACCCTTGACACTTAGGGCAATATGGTCCTGGGCACAGCCCTTGGCTTTCTTGGTACCTGAAGTAACTCTAAGACTGTAAGCTAGGGAGAAGGTGCTGATCTGCATCAGCCGAGGGAATTTCATTACTGTGAGTTCCCTATCCTAATGAATTTATAGATCCATCGCAAAATAAAATTATATAATCATGTTACAGAGAATTTACAAAACAAAATGAGAAAGAATGAGAAGGAATTTGATGCATTCCCCTAACAACGATTTTGAGCATCGTTTTATATGGCTCTTGATAGCTTGGATTTCTGACAGAAATGTAAACTTTTAGGTATCCATTAGAATGTAAACTCTCTATGGGCTGGGACTTTTTCACTTACGCTTTTGTATGTCCCTAGTACTTAGCACGATGCCTAGAATTTAGAAAGCTCTTAATAAATGCTTGTTGATTGACTGATCAATCTTTTACCCTCTGAAAATCTTATAAAAGGAGATTTTATCAAAAGGGAACTGTCAAAATACCTTGTAATTTGAAAACTTGGTGAAAGCAAATTTGGGAGCATTTAGCTATTTGATCGTACCTCTTGAATTATTCTTGATCAATATTTTGTAGTCTTTGAAGCAAACTGATGCTAATTTAAAAATCAAATAGCAAATACTTGTTGAGAATCTATAACATGTTCTATGCTAGGCATTGTATATTTTCTAGCTTTCTAGATGGGAAATTGGGCTCCTCTATCAGCAGCAAGGGTAAATCACTACTTTCATTATGACATCCTATTTATCCCTCAAGCCAGCTAACATCTCTTGCTCAATGAAATGTTATGCTTCTTCATATAGCCTTACAGCATCCAGTATAATCATTTACACACAGTAGACATGGAAATATTTCTAAATAACTACAATTTCCCCACTTTGTTTTAATGGTAAAAAGTGTCTGAGGAAGGGGATGGGGAAGGGAAGGTTTTTGGAGTAGAAAAACAATTTTGATTTATTGAAGTAAAAAATGAAGCAGTTACCTGTCTAAGAGTCTCCAGTGCATTCTTTTAAATATTATTAACTTGGTTTTCAGATCTCTTTTTAACATTGCGAAATCCAACATACAAGTGACAAGGACTTTGGACTGGCAGCTTGGTTTCCAGAAGAAGCTTAAGAGGTACTCTGACGTACTCCCACACTTGATCTTACCTTATCACAGAAGACTTTGATCTGGCAATAGGCCCTGTGAACAGGTTTGTTGCTTCGGTTATTGTAGCTGTACGTGTCAATCTGAATGTTAAGGGGCAGCCCCTTCACACCCTTCTGAGAGGAAAAATCTGTGCTTAAGCAGTTCACAGAGATGAAAACCTACAAAAAGAAGGAAAAGTTCTATAAACAAGTCATATACAAAATCACACAGTCACAATTAGAACAGCTTACTGAAATACTATGCTTAAGTCAAGCCACAACAGAACTAATTTCACTGACATACCTAGGAAAGTTAATTGTAAATTAAAGAACTGTGCCTCATTAGCTTTTCACAAAGCATCTTTAAAAATATGGAGGAGGGAATTTTTTTAAAATCAGCATTAATATATTCATTGGTCAAAGGAATGATAGAAGAGAAAAGGAAAAATTCCAAGTAGTTCTGCATATCATTACTTTTATCCTTCAGGCCATATAATAATGTTGATTAGGCCAGCTGGATTAAACTTCTTTCATCACCTGGTGAGTCTTCAATAGAATAGTCTTTAAAAGTATATCCAACTGAAGGCACATGTGAGTTCTAATACCTATTTAAACAATCATCTCTTTGGCATCCTTCACTAGCTTCTCTATGCCTAATTTTCTCTTTTTAAAAAAATTGCAGCAATAGAACTTTCCACCTTCTTTCCAACTAGCAAAAAGCCCATAGGACCGATGTTTTCATGTTGCTCCTAGGGTGAACGAGAAATGAGGTCATAAGTGTCAGTGGGAATTAGGTATAATCAGTATTATCAATGAGTCTGCTTTTCAATAAAGGCAGCTAGGTGATGCAGTGGATAAAGTTCCAGGCCTGGTATCAGCAAGCCTCATCTCCTGAGTTCAAACCTGGCCTCAAACACTTACTAGTTATGTGACACTGAGCAAGTCACTTAACCCTGTTTGCCTTAGTTTCCTCATGTGTAAAATGAGCTGGAGAAGGAAATAGCAAGCCACTCCAGTATCTCTGCCAAAGAAAACCCCAAATGGGGTCACCAAGAGTTGGACACGACTGAAACAACTGAACAACAACAGTACTTGCTATTTCTTTTGTTTTCACTTTAGCAGAAATAGGTACCAAAGAATTCTCAAAATAGGTAAAATCCACTGTCCAGTTAAATCCTTTATCTTGTTGCTAAAACACGTCTACAAAGACATGCACTCCTTAGATATTTATGAGTTGGTCATAAAAATGTATCCAACTTTTTAAAATTTCATTTATATTCTATGCATTTACCACTTTGGAGTTGATGAATAGCAGAGGAGCAGGATAATGAATTTTAGAAAGTTTCTAGTCTAGTCTACAGTGTCAAATATCACTTTTTTCCCTTTGTTCTAAATTTATGTCACTTGAATTTTTTTAAAGGGTAACCCCTTGACACAGTATTTTGGAATTTGTGAATTATATCTATATTCACCTTTCCCATGCTACTTGTGGGCTTTTATCATGTCCCACTTTGCTTTTGCCTTTCCAAACAAGACTGAAAAAATTCTCTCTCCTTCCTTCCCCTTGAAATAAATCCTTTTCTGGATCTTCTCTAATTCTAAGATATCCTTGAAATATAGTATATCTTTTTTAAGGGTGGGATAAGATTTTACAGTTTTGTTATCAATACCCTTTTTATTATTAATTAATTTATTTTTAGTTTTCAACAATCACTTCCATAAGCTTTTGAGTTTTAAATTTTTCTCACCCTCCCTCCCTGCTTCCCTCCCCAAGATGGCATGCAATCTGATATAGGCTCTACATATACATTCCTATGAAACATATCAATACCCTTTTGACAATAGCAAATGCCAGCCAGAAGTTGGGCTAAACACAGTCCAAGTCCTTAATGAACAATCTATCATGATTCTCAGGTCCTTTTCTTGAGTCATGACTCAAAGCCTTTTTTTTTTTTTTTCATATTTAGAGGCTGAATTTTTTTGTCCTTGGCAAAAAATAAAAATTTTATTTAAAATCCCATCTAACCAATATTCTCTTCACTGATGCTATGGGGCCAGGAATAATAAACACAACTATCTCAGAAGAATTAAAAATACAATAAACTAAAATACAACAGAAACATGCATATTAGGTATAAGTAAGCTGTAGGATATTTCCAATAATAACTTCTTCATAAGAACTGGCATGAAAGATGTTATTGAGAACATATAAGACCAGAAAAGGACAAAGACCAGTTAAAACCTGAAAATACAACATATGTACCTCTTGATTTTCATACTGGCATTCTAAACACACCAAAACAACAAGAAGACCTTAAGCAAATTCTATAGTTTCTCTATGGAGGATTTTTGGAAAAATAAGGAAAATAATTTGGATTCTTACGACTTTGTGCTTGCAATGGCATGGAAACTCAAATGAAGAATGATATAACAATAGTCTGTTAACAAGCAAGGCCATGGCACCTCATAAACCAAGCACTCCCCCTTTCATGGTAGTCCTACCAACATGGATATGAAATCTTCTAGACAACTGAATGGCACTGGATCTTAAAATCTTTCAATGCACATGATATGCTGAAGGAACATCAATCCATACTATCTATAACTAGACTTTAATGACTTGAGAGAGAGTTTTTCTACCTGTTGTGCAAACTCTGATGGGGAGGTTCAAAGCAATAGCCAAAGGTATCAAAATACAATTCCCACATAAATAGATCATCCTTTTTAAAGAAGAAGTTAAAATCAAAGTCAATGAAAGCAAGACTAACAATGAATCAAGCCTTAAATATTAGTGGGAGTTAGTTACAATCACTATTAACAACTAGCGTTATTTGCCATTTCTTTCGTTTTCACCTTAGCAGACATAGAAGTAAAGGAATTACCACAATAAGGCAAATCCACAGTATAAGTGACTGAATATAACACAGATTGTTTAATATGGTATGCACAAACTCAACATGGCATTGTATACACTTCATTGTTTTTAGTTTGTTGTTTGCATGAACTTATGAAGTATATAAGTATATATTTGTTTCTTAGAATTTTGTAACTGAAAGTGCTATCCATTCATACATTAATACATAGCTGTATTAATAAAGTTTTTTTTCCTTTTTGTTAATATTTTTCTCCCCTACAGAACATGAGTTAGCATTCATATGCCAAGTTAGCATAGAATGCCAAAGGAAAAAAGTTATAAATGGCCCTGTCAAAGGGCCTTAGATCCTTGCTTGAGAGGACATCCCAAAATCACACTCCAGGCAGTGGCCAAGCAACTTAAAAGAAAATCTTTTGGGGAAGACTTTTGTTCATATTAATTAGCTTATATACTGTAGAATTTTGTAGTTGTAATTGCTTCTCATTTTTTTTTTTTGCTTTCAGCCACAAATCCAGTCAAGAAGGTCTTACCCCAATTTCTTCAATTATCATTTCATAGATAAGTGTCCCCCTGGGTCCAAATGTCTCCATAGTGCCACAAATGAGACGGTTTTATTATTGTTAGCTGACTGCTAGAAGATTAGGAAACATTCCAATTCTGTATCCTCATCTCCCAAAGGATAGTTCTGAAAGTTGAGGTAACAGATAAAACCTTGCTCTACACTAATTACCATCCTGACATTCCCTAAAATAGAAGAGTATCTCTAAAACATGTACAGAGATTTCCTGTACAAATGGGGAAAGCTGAGAAGTCATCTGTGGAAACTGCCACATCACCTTCTGCCTCAATCTGGTTGCAGAGTAGAAGGGCCACAGCCCTTTTCACTCTTGTCTCCAGACAGCATTAAAATTCATTTTCACATGAAAGTCTTGTCCATCAGTTTTCTCCTTTTCCCTCTGGAAGTAGAGAAACTGAGTTACCACATAAGCCCTCATTTTGAAAGGCACTTACTGCTAAATGTAGGAATTGAAATGTGTAGGAGAAATTTGTCAAATATTCTTCTCCTCTGAAAACTTCTCAGACTCAGAGAAAGCCCTCATTCAAACTGCTACAATGGGTGGCCCTAATACTTTACAGAAGTGGGATCTGCCACTGTCAGCTGACTTGGACTCATGACAGAGATGGGTTGTCATCATGCTGCTTGCTGCATTTTCATGTGAAGTGTGTAAGCAAACTCACAATTAAACAATCTTTGTGCAGAAATGAAGAGTACAAAAAATTGTTATATTTTATCACATATATGGTATATACCATATGTTCTGGTAAGCACAATAAGCTGGTTTTTTAAAACTACAATTTTTAAAAATGAAAATAATGCTAGAATGGTTATAGAAATGATGTTCTTAAGGGTAGGATAAATATATGTGCAGAATATATGCAAGAGAAAAATTTTCCAGAGAGTATTTTTAATAAACAAAAACAATTTTTTCCCACATCTGTGACACCAAAAGGATTACTTACATCATATAACGTTGTCTATAGAATTAACTGTAAAAGACCTCATTCAATAGGAGAAATATTGGTGCTACCTGCAGCTGCTGATATGAGCAAAATGACTCTCGGTGAAATGTGGGCAAAGCAGCTTCAAATGGCTGCACTGGCAGATAACACAGCGGGAAAGGAGGATTGTCCATGTGCCTGAAAACCTTTTTAATCAATCATCTGAGAAGCTGAAATCTTCCCATTTCACAATGAAAAAGTGATTACAGCAACAGCTGTGGTTAGAGATGCTCATTTGATTACATATGTACATGTTGAGACTGTTATGTTAGGGAAGGTGTTATTTTGCAAGCCTATTTCTTACAATGCCAAATGAGGAGAAATTTTCAAAATGATCAATGGATTTTTTTAATGAATGTGACATAAAAGAGTTGTATTAGAATGACACTAATAGAGTTCAATTCATCTCAGGACAAATTACAGACCTATAAGTACTAGTTAAAACTATGGTTTCTCACAAAGTATGGATAAACTGCATGTTTCACAACCACTTGTATTAAGAATATGAATGAGGAGCTATAAAATTTTCAACTTCAAGAGTAATCAACTTCATAAAAGGCATTCCATTAAAAGGAAGACCTGTGCAAAATTGTGTATAGGAATTGCTGTTGTTCAGTTGTTTTCATTCTTGTCCAACTCTGCAAACCCATTTGGGATTTTCTTGGCAAAGATTTGCCACTTCCTTCTCCAATTCACTTTACAGATGAGGAACTGAGGCAAACAGGGTTAAGGGACTTGCCCAAGG